TATATGCTCTGTATAATATATATATATATGTATCATATAACATATATATATATATATAATATAATTATATGTATATATATATATACACATTGCATATACTAGGTCGATGTTCGACCCCAAAGCCGGACATGTTCCATCGCTATTACAGTATTTGTTCATGTTGCAAGTAGGCACTCCCCTTTCGTCATGGATCAGGGATTAAGGATGCAGTACCAAAAAAACTCAAAGTACCCATGAACAGTGGTAAACATGTTAAACACATGTGGGAAAATACATTAACATAACAATTTTTGTCTGGTTACAGTAGATGGAATGTCAAGGCACCCAGAATTCAATTCTAATTCTGGCCACCATCGGCGTTCAAATGGCACTAGCCATTTGGGATATATCATATCCCAATTTCAGACACTTCCATGACTAGTTCAAGATACATAACATTATATCAAAATTATATCCCGGCTAGAAATATACACAATTCCAACAAGTGTGATACCTTAACCATGTTTTTTCATTGGGATATAGTAATCCCCAAAAAGATCGAACATTGAAACCAAAACACTATGTTCTTTGTGATTCACTTTCCTATTTTTTGGGGGTTGCTGTAGTATTGTATATTTATGCTAGCTAGATTACTGGAGCTTATCAGCCTCATTTTTATTGATTCAATTCCTTGGAATCCCATTAATTATCCCATGGATACCTCACTGAATTCCCTAAATTCCGTCGAATCTCCATATGTTGATGGTGAAATCATGTTAAATCCTCTAATTTTCCATAGTTATGTCAGATATATTTCACTTTTCAGGCTGAACTTCCCATATATTTCCCGTGAAAAACGAAAAAAAGGACTACCATTCGGAGCGTTCCCCTTGGGCCCCCGGCACTGCACGGAGCCCAGTGCCTCGCACGCCGCCTTGGCAGCCTCCACGCTGCCGTAGCTGGCTTTGTTCTGACCCTCCGTCAGGTCCTGGGGCTTTGAATGAGGATAGTCTTACTGGCGCTAAATGCAGGGAATTTTCGGGAATGATCCATCAAAAGGATGGCAAAAAAAAGGATGGTTGAAGAAATATGTGTTCCAATCCAAAGACAAGCTGTTTAAGGAGGTGTACACATATATATATATATATAAAGGGGTAAATTACAATATTTCACTAACCTGAATCTTGCGGCCGTTTGGGGATGATTTCCCTTACTAACCATGATTCCAGTGAGGGAGAACAGTGAGGTCGTTATAATTTACCCAGATCCATAAGCACTAGTAATAATCACCCCATTCCCCCCATTCCCACCCTACTAAGAACCAGTAAGTATTTATAGCTTTTTTTCTTGAAACAGGTCCTGGGGGGTGACTTTTCTTGAACCAAGTAGTTTTCTATAAATATCTATAAATTGAATGATTAGGTTTTTTTTAGACGGCAAACTGGAAGATAAAATGGGGAGCTTGGTGGGAGACAAAAAAATGAATGTGTGGGCATAACATCGTGTAACGAATTGAATACCAAGAAAAATGGAAGTGACCTGCGAAAGTCTGATATCAGATTGATGATCAGGTTGTTCAGCTTGATGATCACCCCACCAATCACAAGTCACAAGTGACTAGAACACATGGGCTGTGGTAGTAACCCCCTCTGACCGGGACTATCTCATCTTTAAACAGGAGAGCAACGGATTCTCCACACCTTCCACTCCTCTGCAGGGCAGACATAACCATGAATATCTGCAAACAAAAACAACAAATTCAAATTTTGATGACAACGTCTACTGTACAGTTATGGCCCGAAATACCAGTTATAAGTACTTATAACCTCATTTATAGAATGTATAATCCCATTTACAACCAGTTATAACTAGTTGTATACTTGATCAATGGCCGTAACTGCATCCCTGCTTATACTCATGACTATTGAAATCGCATTTTTGGCATGAAATGACCAGTTAAAACTAATAGATGGCCATAGCTCTACCCATCCATCTTAGGTCGCGTCAAATCGCACTGGAACCGATCCTGATCAATCATGATGTGGCTGGCAGGCACGTAGACGTTGCCTTAGCAGTGCCACACCATATGTGATTTCCGTTTTAGGATTTCCGTTATGTGTCCTCCACACGGTGTTGAATTTGGGTACAGTACCAGGACTACTGTGCCATGAATGTATAATATGTATATTTACATGTAAAGTCATGTAAAGTCAACCCACTGCATGGGCACTCATGGTGAAGTGGATCCAACCGTGAAAAAACAACCCTGCCTAAGCAACACTATGCCCACACCACAAAACGTGCAAGCATACGCAATCAAAAAACATATCGTTTTTTTGTGAGTCCCCTATCGTTTTAGCAGGTTTCATGCAACAGCCAACATCCGATGCACACCCCAGTACACACTTAATCAGCGCAAATTTTGACGGAATCTCACACCACACCTTATATACAGTTTATTAATATATATATATATATTTATTTATTTAATTAATTCAATACATTTGGCAATGGTAGTTTCATGTAGTTTCAATGTTCCTCCCAGATTATCCTGATGAGTATGGTAAAACAATAAAACGTAACACATAGTTAAAACATCTTAAAAACACAACAGTTTGTATCAATCAGTCATCAATAGAGCTAAGGAATGACAGTATCCAAGGTATGTGGAACCTACTCTCATGGTCTATCATCATGTTCCGCCATGAAAGAAACTTGCACTGAATTCGTCTGTCTGAAAATAGATGAAAATAGTATACGGTCTATACCGTCAAAAATCTCTTGGGCGGGGGTATAATAACATATATAATAACCATGTTTGTTCATTGGTTTACTAGGGTATACTAGGGTTAAATGTCCTGTATTATATCCTTATGATGTTTCAACCCAAATTCTTCACCATCAATCACCAGTTTTTGAGCACACCCCCATTTCCCAACTCCGGGGCTTCCCCACCGTAGAGCGTCCAGCTGTACCAATCCACCGTGCAACAGGAAGCCAAGCAGCGGGAGGCATGGATGCCTGCGAGGTTGATACCTAACATAAGGCCATAAGGCCTATCGGTCTATTCTAAGGGTGAAATTTCAGATATGCCCCAAAAATGTGGTTTTGTATCTGGAATTCCCATTGGCCATAGGTACAAAACGGAAATCATGATTGTGATTTAATTTGATGATGTTTGGTTTATAGCTAGTTCATGATAGCTTAATTAGTTGCTTTAGAAGTAGGCTAACTAGGCGTCATGGATCTTTATGATAGATATATCTATGGTGAAAGGTCCAACCTAGCAACAAGAATGTGTGCACGCAAAATAGGCCCACCCCACCCCACCCAATGTGCACAATGCAACATGATGTCAAAAACTAACATATACCGAAATCATACCTATTCTAGTTTATCACGGGTTCCACGAAGGGCTTCAAACTTAGGTTGTAATTACAGGTGCACGCGGGATAGACACGGGCTGCACATGATTTAGGGAAAACCAGGATTTTGTTTTAATGCCGAAGGCATTCTGTAGATACCAAGGTACTTCCTGAGAAACACGGGTGGCACCCAGGTTGCACACAGGTTGCTAGAGGTTTAAACTCCGAACCCGACTGATGCCATGTTTGGCATGCATGTCTCTCTCCTTCAGATGTCTGTGTAGATGTGAAGTCCTGACATGTCAGGTTAATAGTGGAAAACCCAAGACACATATCACATGGAATAAAGCAGGAGCACTGTTGGACGCAAACATTATCTCAAACTCGGACAGTTTATAAAACCAATGTTTCTTGTGACAACTCCAAGGTTTCGAGCATGAGAGCTACACCCAGGGTTTTACGTAGTTTACACCCAAGAAATTGTAGGTGTGGAAGCTAAGTGTATGTATCTGTGATTAAAATCGTGCAATGTATGAGCCTCATGTTATCATTATCATACAATATCTACCCTCCAGTAAATTAACATAGACCCTGCCAGATAGGGCTTGGAAGATTCGTTTCCACTAAAAAAAGGTTTAAACTTCAGGGTGAAACTGCTAATTTACTAGAGGGGTATGACTAGGGGTATGACTAGGGGTATGACTAGGGGTATGACTAGTTACCCTCTGGTGAACTAACATAGCAATGGAAAATCACCATTCTTAATGGGAAAATCCACTATAAATAGCCATTTTCCATTGCTATGTTAGTTCACCAGAGGGTATCTAATTTTATGTATCCATGAACACAGATGTGCGACACCCAGCCCCAACAAGTGGCACCTTTGGAGGCGTACTCGGTCTCGTTGAAATTTTCATGATCTGGATGCAAAATGGCCGTCACTCCTGTGGGATGGCTATAGCGGATTCCGTACCCAAACAATATGGGCGGTTGTTCTGAAGATGTGGAGGCCAAAAGCCATGGTTTACCCAACATAAATGACAGCTGTGTGACTATATGTTCAGATTTAGGGGTTTCCTGGACCAAATGGAATGTTTACAATTAATGGAAAATCCCATCTATAATTGATTTTTATTGGATGATTTGGGGGTACCCCCATGACTTCGGAAACCCCCATTTGGTGAGTTTGGAATTTCACTGGGACACAACCGAAATCGCGGAACTGGCAGCACATCCATGGTGGCGTTAGGTCCTGAGATTCTCCTGAGAATAAGAGATCTGAAGAGATCTGCATGGCCATGACGATTAGTTATAACTGATTATTTCAATGAGATTATACATTCTATACATGGGGTGACTTAGATTGACTTAGTACTTATAGCTTGTGTTTCGGCCCATAACTGTGAAAAACACAATGCTTGGGGTTACTCTATTGTGTTCTACACCCAACTCTTAGGTGACGAAGACGACAACATTCGCCATTCGACTCAACTCGGTGATCGAAATGTGTCCTGTGTCGCAGATGCCCGGGACGGTGTAGGCTGGCTTAGGGACATTGGCATGATTATCTACACCTCAATGGAGGGCGTCAGAAGTGACAGCTGACATTTGCCCCATGCCTCAAACTGCCTCAAACTGCCTCAAACATGCGCTTCTAATTTTGGTTACCCTCCGGTGTCATCAAACGTGGCGATCGCTGGGAAATCCCTGAACTAAAAGGACGTTTTAATGAAACGTCATCTATAAATGGTGGAGTCTCTGTTGCCACGTTTGTTTCCCGGAGGCTAGGTTGAAACAGCTCGGGCAGCTCCCAATGTTGGATGGTTCATGATCATGCTCCCTGTTGAAGAACAACCATTTTGAGGCTATCTATGGCTATCTTCTATTTTCAGACACACCCAAACGATCCTCAGAAATTGTGGCTGGAGGCCAATGCTGGGGCGCTGTAAAGAAAAATCTCCAAGGCCACTAACACTTCTGAAGAGAACTTCTTCATATTGATTTCGTGGTTTCAAGGAGTGCCAGAACTAGTTTCACCAAACAAAATGGGTGTGTCTAAAAATGGGATGTTTTCCCCCAAATGGCAATTGGAAAGATGATGCTAAACCCAATGAACCTGGCAAAGAAAGAGAACCAATCGAGCACTGCATCCTCTTGTTGATAGTATGTTTCTACTATAAGAAGTGTGGTGGTAAACGTTTACATAACTATGGAAAATCACTATTTTTAATGGGAAAACTCACTATAAATGGCCATTTTCAATAGCTACGTTAAATTACCAGAGGGTAAACGTTTACGTAACTATGGAGAAATTTGGTATTAAATAGCTGACAAAATCTCTGGATTCGGCTATCTCAAAAAAACAACGACCATCCCCTAAAACATCATCCCTGTCATAACTTGGGTGTTGGACGACTTCCAGTTATCCATGGGGTCTATGATGGCCCTGAGTTATTCTGAGGGATGCTATTCGGAACTTACATGCAACCAACAATTCGGGCTTATCGATTGGCAGAATACATCGCGCGTCCCAAACCTTTGATGGTTTTTCCGAAATGCATGAAGCATCATTGACGGTGGTCACTGAGCCCACTAGTCATTTCCATATTGCACTACAATAATCCCCATGAGACTAGTTAGTACAACTCAAAACATCTTGTTTGTGCAACCACAAACTTATTGAGTTTAGTCGTCCAATTTGGTTTGCAACTGTCCCATGTTTGTTGCTATTAAATCACCATGTCTCATAGCTAACCATGGATCACCAAAGAAATCAAAGCTCAATAGCTCAATAGCCATCACCTGAGGTTTCCAACCCCATTAACCTCATGGCCTCATTGCCTCATGTTTTCCTCATTTTTTCCGGATGATGATGATACTTATACTTTATCTAAAATTCAAGAACAATGCTCTATTAGGCGCCCACATTTCATGGCAACAACAACCATATGAAACCATACCTTAGATAAATCTTAGATAACTGATACTCATTGAATAGATCATTTCTCTCAAATTACTTTACTTCGTGTGATCCCCACCATGACATTTATCCATGTTCTTACTGGCACATCTTCTGGCATTCTATCTGACATATCTTCTGACATTCTATTTGGCATTCTATCTGGCATATCTTCTGGCATATCTTCTGGCATTCTATCTGGCAAATCTTCTGGCATTCTATCTGGCATATCTTCTGGCATTCTATCTGACATATCTCTGGCATTCTATCTGGCATATCTTCTGGCATATATTCTGACATATCTTCTGGCATTCTATTTGGCATTCTATCTGGCATTCTATCTGGCATATCTTCTGGAATATCTTCTGGCATATCTATCTGGCATATCTTCTGGCATATTTTCTGGCATTCTACCTGGCAAAATCTTCTGGCACTCTATCTGACATTTTATCTTCCTACATGAGGTCCGGCAGGGAACACTTGGCGTGGATACTCGCGGTTGAGGTCCGGCAGGGAACACTGGGCGTGGATGGTCGTAGTTGAGGTCCGGCAGGGAACACTGGGCGTGGATGGTCGTGGTTGAGGTCCGGCAGGGAACACTGGGCGTGGATACTCGCGGTTGAGGTCCGGCAGGGAACACTGGGCGGGATGGTCGTGGTTGAGGTCCGGCAGGGAACACTGGGCGTGGATGGTCGTGGTTGAGGTCCGGCAGGGAACACTGGCGTGGATGGTCGTGGTTGAGGTCCGGCAGCGAACACTGTGGATCGCGGGTCGCAGTTGGACGAGGACGACGAGGACGACGAGGACGACGAGGACGACAAGGACGACAAGGAGGACGAGGAGGAGGCAGGAGGCAGGAGGCGGCAGGAGGAGGAGGCAACTGACATAAAATCTAACAACCCTCACCTGGCAGGTGGGGAAAAATAGATCATGTTGGTCACATTATTCACCATTAAAAAAAACAAAAACGAGCAAAAACGATCAAATCTGCTTGGTGGTTGACAACCTACCCCTCTGAAAAATATGACTTCGTCAGTTGGGATGATGAACTTTCCAATATATGGAAAGTCATACAATTCATCTTCCAAACCACCAACCAGAAATGCTTGTGAAGCTACATCTTTTTTGTTGCTTATCCCATAGCCGTAGCCGCGCCATCAACCAACCAACTCCAACGCCGTCCATTTCTCATCGACCAAGACACACTGGCTGTGCACAGCCGAAGCGCTAAACCTGTCACACCGAAAAAAGCATCAAGAAAAGAAAGACCCAGGGAAGCCTTTTCCATATATATATAGAAACACGGCATGTACATATATCATCATATATCAGCGTGGTTAGCACTTAGACACTTAGATGATCATTCGCTTAGTGGTTTACTCCCAAGTGTTGGTGGTGTCAAGCTACATCAGACCAGCTATGTCTGAGGCTCTCAAGTTTAGGATCATAATAAAATCCCCCCATCCAACCGACAATAAACTGCCTATTTGGCAAACCAAAACGAAAGCATCCACCGTATTCCATGGTTCTGAGGTGGGTGTTTAACCAATTGTCAAGATGAAAAGAAGAATAAAACACCATCAAGCACTTGTTTGGGAATATTTGGGAAGTATTGGAGGGAGTGCCGACCCGGGTTTGTCTGAGAATAATCTACGCCAAAACCCCGGGCTTTATCTTCCCGGAATGAACATAGCTATTTTATGGGGATATCCCCCACTAAAAAAAACATTTTTTACGCACCCAATACCAAGCCGCAAAGATTGCACGGGTCCGTTTTTGGCTGCCTGGCTGCCATGCACTCTTCAATCTTGGCATCCAGATCCTCTGCCACAAACGCCTCTAAGAGGCAAAGAATTCCTAAGCGACAAATCTGCGGATTCTGCTGGATGAACATAAAATCGTATCCAAAATATACGTATGGCTTCCACCAACCACCAAAACATTAATATTTCAGCTATGAACATGAGGACGCTAAACAGCAAACGCTAACCCTTTGTTCAGATAGAGAAAATGGATTTGATGCCATACTTCAAGCTTCTAGTTGTTTGGGTATCGATCAAATTGGGTACTTCCACGATGGGATGCTTGGAGTATCAAATGTGCCCAAGGTGTGTAGCTTCGGTTTCTTCAACTTTGACCCATACCCATTTCGTGACATTCTAAAAACAAGACAAGACTTTGGGATGATCTACTTAAATGAAATCACATGTCAAACCTAAAAGAATGGCATGGGTCACATGTCTACCTCCCCTTTTTTTCATATTCCCAATCGAAACATGTGTTTACTATTCGATCTATTCATCTAACATTGGCCCAAACCTTAGGGGGGATGAAAAATGTGATCGGGAAATTGGGTTACTGAACATGACCCAAGAACAAAGAATCTAAGATCAGGATTCTGTTGGAATAGCAGTTTTTTTGCTTTTCAACTGTTCAGAAACGATCTGGGGCCCCCAGTTATTGGTTGGTTTATGAACCCTAACTATAGTTAGATGTTCTTTGCGTATCACCAAGCGACAAATTTGGATGTTGGAGTTACCCTCTGGTAACATAGCCATGGACAATGGCCCATTTATAGATGGTTTACCTATTAAAAAGGGTGATTTTCCATGGCTATGTTAAATTACCAGATGGTAAGTCTAATAACTATGGTTTATAGATGTTTATAGGTGATATACAAATTTGGATGTTGGAGTTATTCAAAGAACCATTTTTAAGAGTTTCACACGTCTGTGCTGCGACCAAGGCACGCTTGATGGCGCGGTACTCGTACTTCAAGTCCTGGCAGGATGAGCCCCAAGTGGCGCCGAGAAGCACCATTTTTGAAGAGGTCCCCGGCCTTGTAAACATAGAAATAGCATCAAATAGCTATGGAAAATCACTATGTTAAATAGGTAAATCAACTACTGGGCAAGTTTCAATTATGTTAAATTACCAGGGGGTAAATCATCGAACTAGCCATTCCTTCCACTTCGCAAACTGTGAAAACATACCGGAGAGTAGGGGCCTGTCTTTTCATACAAAGTAACACTTTTAGAGGAAAGTTGATAGGAAACATTACCCATAGGATCCATGTATGCTATATATGGTAACATTTACCATCAATATACCCCAGTCATGTTAGCATATATACCAGCACCATGGATCCTATGGGTTATGCTTAATCAGTAGATTTTGGTGCATCTTCGGGATCTGATGCTTTCCCATGATGTGCAGTATCTTCAGTGCCACTAAGTGATTGTGTAAATGTTATCATCCATGATGGGTTTATATATCAGGATATATGAACCATTATTGTATATATATATATATATATTATACATGTAGGCTCCGGTTCTTCAACATAGCTATGGACTATGGAAGCCACGGCCCATACAAATGGATGATAAACATGCTGATTTGCCGAACTTAAAACATGTGATTTTCCAGTTTGCGAACCGTTCAATAAGAAAAGTATATATTGTGCTGATGCCTGCAAAATGTTTTTTCATGGTTCACATTACATTTCCTCTATCAACAAGAAAAAATGGCTTCACCACTATTTCATCACTATGTCAATGTGATTCAATTTCCACCATTGGGGAACATGGGGATCCTGATTCAATCCCCACGTGTATTCATCAACCCCCTACAAGCTGCTGCCCCCCAGTTCTAAATAGGTGGCAAAATCCAATGAACTAGTTCGGTATATCACCTATAAACATCTATAAACCATAGTTATTAGACTTACCATCTGGTTATTTATTCTAGCCATGGAAAATCACCATGTTTAATAGGTAAACCATCTATAAATGGGCCATTTTCCATGGCTATGTTAAATAAAGATTATAAACTAAACCAACTTAGCTAACTATGGGGCACCACCCGGTATGTTTGCCGCGGATTCACTGCCTGGATGGTGCTGTTGGCACTTTGCACTTCGGTCAGGTACGTTGACCACTTGCCCTCAAAGCCTCAGGTTTTGAAAATCCGATCATTCAAGATATAGATATATGTGATGTGTATAGATATGTGTATTATATTTGTGAAAATATATTTTATTTATATGTTTAATATATATATACATATGTATAGATATACAGTATCAATAACACTTGATAATGACATATAATTAATAACTATGAACATACATGTCTTCATGTTGCGTGAACAATGTTGCATGTACCTCAGAATCAAGTCGAGCATATGCGTTTACACAAAACTTATAAGTGTGCAATGCTAAGAAACCGTCAGTTATCATAGTTATCATTGCATCCTTGAGTTGATGAGGACATAGACTTCCCCTGAATTGGCTGAATGTCAATCTCTAAATCATGTCCTGTTGGTACACAGTATCATTGTTCTTATCATTGGCTGAGTGTTCCTATGAGGACATATGCCACATGAAGTCGAGCAATAGAACTGCTACGAACTCTGACCCTCAATGAAAAAACATTGGTTTATAGATGGATGTTCCCATCTCAAAATGCTCATGCCTAGTTCCCGGGCCCAGCGATGCCGGATATTGCCATGGTGGAGGCTGTCTCCATCAACTCCTTAAACAGGTATATGAACTTGCACCAATTTCCATCTGCATGTGCCGCCTAGCCACATGCAGGCATAGTGGTGCACGATTCGTTGGTCCTGCAGCTGGCGACAAACATCCCTAACGACCAGGGGGTTGTTGGAATGGTATGGAAAAGTTACGAGAGTGAGGAACTGATTTGAAAGAACATATTATACCGAGCTACCGAGATATTTTGTATACCATCATACCCATTATTCAAATATCACATTTATATGAGCATTTCAACAACATATCATACTTAATCAGCAATAGGAGTTTGTCACGGATCCAATTTTCCAGGCCGCTGGCCCTGAATACATTCTGCAGCGCTCTATTCTTGTTGTCCATGACGCATGCACTGTATCTGTGCTTGTAAAGAAATGTTTTCTGAGAGCATTGGCATGCATTGGCACTGGCGAAACCAGTGGATCTGAAAATTGGTATGTTTTTGTTAGATATACCTTCCAGTAAATTAACATAGACCCTGGCAGTTGTCGGGGTTGGAAGATTAGTTTCCACTAAGAATGGGTTATTTTCAGGGTCCAACTGTTAATTTACCAGAGGGTAACTACAGAATTCTATGGTAGATATAACTAACGCTTTGTGCATCTGAACAAGTCCATCTTGTCCAGCCCTCGGCTGCGGCAGCGTTGGAAGGGACGATAGACCATGGATTCTACGGATTGCATCCCCCGATACTGGAACTGAATGGCTGGCTGGATGGTTCACTCCAAAAATCCAAAGAGACGAGAATCAATAGTAATAATTTATAATAAGCCTTAAATACCTCTGATATATATTTATATATTTCTATTGGTATTTGTTGGAAAACTATCCCATGATACCTCCATTACATCACCTTTTTGGTTGCTGATATGTTCTATCCTCAACCAGTTAAATCCCACCGGTTTGGTGGTTAAATCCACATTGTTGCTTCTTTATCACATCATATCACACAAGGTGGTGCCCCCTACCCTAGTTATAAGTTTTTTTTTTGAGTCTGACTCGGCATACGCACCATAAACTCAATCGTTAAGCTAGTTACTTGCACCAATTTAGCTCCCATTTATGTTCTCATCATATGGCCATTTCTTGTTGATTAGAGTTAATGACATAATATATATATATATTCAATTCCATCAAGACACATTTTTTCATGGCTACCCCCTGGTAAACGTTTACATAACTATGGAAAATCGCCATGCTATTAATGGGTAAATCAACTATTTCGACTGGGCCATTTTCAATAGCTATCTCTTTTGTGCGCCTCTCCAACCCCCCCGGAGCACCACAAACAGGACACGCCTCTCATGGACTTCGCAGGCGATCTGCTCGAGCTTCTCCTGCTTGTTCTCGCAGGCCGTCATCTGATCATAGTAAGACACCTGGGGAGAAAGGATGGGATGAGGAATTGCATGGGAATCAATGACCAGAAATGGAAAATCATGACAATAAAATACAATAAATGGGAATTGACAAATTCAAGGGGCATTTTTTAATTCTGAATTTAGAAATCCAAAGACAAGAGTCTTGGATATCTTGGATCGATTCATGTTGGGGGCCAAACAATGACAGGGGGATATGTAAAATGATGGTGAAGGGTTAATACCTGTTAATGGCTGAATCATTATGAATCAGCAACCTAAAATGTTGGCTCGAACGATTATATATATATCATTTTCAACAATAATTATCACTATCTTCGTGTAGCATGACAGGCAATCATATTCTCAACAATGCTTTGATTCAAGACTAGAATAATACTAGAATAATGATGGTAATATCATGTAATATCACTATCTGGAGCTTCTTGCTTAATCAGCAATCATTCAATGCTGCAATCCAAAGCATCATTCAAAGTCACGGCTGGCGAGATTGTTGCCAGTCCCAGGACACCCAATCTTGACAAACATGGAGACTCCAAGATTGTTGATCCAAAACAAAAATGTTTTGTGAAGTCAAGGAAGTACATTGTACATATAGTCATACATGTATCATAGTGTGATTACAACTTAGCATGTTTGAATCATTACATGTAACACTGTATATATATACATGTCTATATTAAGTAATCATATCATATCATATCATATCATATCATGTTACATGTATATATTGTCTATATGTATATTATTTATCTTCTATACATATCATATCGATCACATGTCTGTACAAGAAGATCAAGTGATGGGACCTCCATCTCGGTGCAATTCCATTGCGTGATGTTTTTCGTCACGTTCCTCGGGCCGAAAGGATCCGAAAGGATCCGAAAGGATCCGAAAGGAAAGCGCAACCAGATCTGGATACCCAAAACAGAAATGACATGGTTATGGTCAAGACCCTGGTACCCAAACGGTACCCTATAAAATAGCTGATTAATGGATGGTTTTACCCCCAAATATGGCAATCTTGATAGGTTTTGAGGCCATCTTCACATAAAATGATGCCTCTGCCTATGCGAGTTTGTCCGAAAATCATGGACACCCAGAATGGTCACTCTACAACGTTCAGAAGGAAAGTGTCGATTGACCATGAGACTTTGGGCTACTTACCATCTGGTTATGACTAACAGTTCGCCATGGTAGGGAAAATAGCTGGGTTTACCCATTAAAAATGGTGATTTGCCATGGCCATGTTAAATAACAAGAGGGTACTACCATTTTTTTAACAAGGAAATGAAAGCAACAAGGGACGTGGTGGATTCGGGGTCCCTGTCTGTGGTAATTGTTTGAAATCCAGCTATGTACCAGTCTGAGTATGCAGAATTAATAGAAGAGGCTAGCAAATCTAGCATCATGGGTTGCATTCGATGGTCTCAAGTATACAATATAAATATATATATATATATACACATGTACGTAAGTACCCATCTGCATATCCAAACAATAATAATAGGAAATACCAATGACAATAGCTTACTTTATCTCAAGGTTCCTGGAAATTAGCACCACTACCCAAAAATCCCCAAGCCTGCTCCACAACCCGTATCAAATCGAATTACGTTTTCTCTGTAAACCTGAGCCTAAACCATCCATCCATGTTACTTTTAACTCGATTTTTTCTAAATCCCCCAAACGGTCCAAACGGTTGGTCTGATACAATCTCTATATATATATATATGTATATGATGTATATATTGGATATTTGTACATATAATATATATATAATGTAAATCATATAAATATAAATAGACATATATATATATATATATATATATTATATAAGATGATATATATATAATATATATATATATATAAGATGATATATATATAAGATGATATATATATATATATCGAATTTTCACGTTGCATGTTATATGCCCCCGTTCATCCAGCCAGCCAGTTGTGATTCCAACCACGATTTTGTGGGAAATTTTGGTGAAATCCACCATCCTAAAGGTGTGGTGACCTGACACGATTGTGAAGTCTCAATTTTTGATGGTTAAACCATGTGTAAAATTCAACAATCATGAATAATGTCCAAGGATTAATGTTCATGTCATGATTAAATCATGTTAATGTTGATGTTCATGAATGTCAATGGATTTTCATGAATTGTTAAGTCTCGAAAAATCTATTCATGTTCATGATGTTCATGGATTTTTTGAGATTAAAAAAAAACATGAACATTTATGAACAATGCTTACATGGTAACTATCGGTTACTATCCACCATAGTGTTCAGCTCCAAGCAACTCCAGCTTGTAGTAGTCCGCCCACCAGGCGATCTTTTTGTTTCCAAAGTGATCACGCATGGCCTGCCGACGATGGCCATCGGCGAAAGCCGAAACCCGAACACACAATGACCGTGGCGAGTGCGAGGCGATAAACGTGGATCCATATTAGATATGATTTTAATATGACTGGATGATTTAATCATGACCTAATGACAGTTGGTTAAACTCCGTTTATGAATAAATTGACAGTTAGTTAAACTCCATTTAGGAATGAACTAGTTAGATCCATTCAATATGACTTGTACAATATGACTTGATATGATATAATTTAATTTACCGTGATTTATCAATTTTCAATGTCTATTCAATTCATTGCAATTCCATTGAAAAATGTCAGAAAGCTTTAAGATGATTTCAGATTGTCCAAAACATGCGTCCAAAAAAGGCATCATGATGATACCATCCACACAATACTGATGTTGATGGCCAATCATTGTCATGGTGAGTGCCTTTAATCATTTTAATCCACATCAAAATCATGAAGATCATTCAGACAAGCACGAACATCAATTGATCCAGCTCAAGATCAGGATCAAAACCATCATCATCAGAAACACATATATAATAGTGATCACTAAAATATTTGCCATAGAAAAACATATCATCATCATCCAACTCCCCAACAAACATTGCTGGAATGCCTCTCCCACCCTGTCCTACCGTGTCCCCGTGGTTGGAATGGCCTTCAGATAGGCCAGGACATCGGTGCCAGTGACCAAGCACCTCGGCGTGACAACGCTCGTGATGGTCATCACAAGTGGTTAACATGGTGGCTAATGCTTTAGATGGGCCACGGTCAATATTTGGTATATATAGCTCCAAGTCATCAATTTTTGAAGAGTGTATTATCGTTTTTTCAGGTTTTGGTATAAGAGCAAATGTTATCGTTTTTTGAAGATTGCATTGTCGTTTTCGGGATTCCAAGCCCCAGCTCAATTTCTAAAAAATAGAGATGTCTCGAATACTACTCTCCATTAACCTAAATTTTGGCTGTAGCTCATATATATATATATGCATAATATATATATATATACACATATTATATATATCTACATATTTACATTCCATAATTCATTGAATGTTATGTATGTGTGTGTATATTTAAAAATGAATGTATACATTACTGTGTGCATTATCAATATTCGTCAATCATAATCCTCCATGGAGGCTTAACTTTCCCTGATTGCAAGCAAGGTCTCTCAAAAAAAAGACTCAGAAGCTCCTGGTAATGTGCTATGCAACCAGCAAAATATGATATACCCTCTGGTAAATTAACATAGACCCTGGCAGATAGGGGTTGGAAGATTAGTTTCCATTAAAAATTGGTGATTTTCAGGGTCTATGTTAATTTACCAGAGGGTAACTAATTGTGGTTACAGTAGTAAGTGTGTGATTTCATCAAACAGGAATGCATTGGGATAGGCTGTGTACTCAGCATGGCCAACCTTTCATACGCTGCAATTTCTTTCTTGGTTAGTCAGTAAATATTCCTTATAGCCATAGCAAAATATCTACGTAAGTATTACAGTATCAATCCAAGATTGACCCAGTCAACAAGGAAAGGCAGAAAAAAACTTATCCAACATCCAATTTTAGAGGAGACTCAACTCCGAATGGCTTCAGTTGGTTTCGCACCCACACACTGCATGACGATGGCTGTTGTTGGGTCTTGTGTCACCTGAATCTAGTGCTACGTTTGATCAAAGGAGCCGTACCCTACACAAAATAACTGCGTGGTATGTATTGTAACCCCATTTATGGCAAAGCACATTCCACCGCCATTCACCAAGGTTTACCCAGTTTCGTCTGATGTCAACCTTGTTTGACATACAAAAGGACAATTTCACTAAAACAATGAAACTAGGCTGCTAGATTTATTGTATTCTCAAAATTCCCAACTTATTACTTGAAAGTGCAGTTCCAGTTATGCGAAGTAGATATTAAACCATAGTTATAGGGGTTATAATATGTTATAGTGCCAATTTAGGGGGTTTGCAACGATGATTTACACCCGCTTAACTTGTTGCAACTCTCATCTCTGGATAGAAAATGCAACGCTGGTGGTTGAGCCACTCCCGTCTGAATGTCACTACGAAATGTCTCGGTCAGTCACTCAGGATCATCATCACTGGTTGAAAATAAGAACCACGAAACCAGCAACTTAAAACCAGAAGATAAGATCGATAAGTGGGAGATATTCGAGTGAAACTACCAACAATTGGATTATATCCTAATGCCAAACAAAGAAAATATGGGTTTGTCTGAAAATAGGGTATATATTCCCAATGAAATCGCCATTTAATAGGGATAATGATCAGCAAAACCATTGGGTTTAGGGGTACACGACATTTTCAGACACACCCATATGTTTATATTTGAAAGAACCCTTCCGGTCGACCAAAAACCGGGGCGAATCTATGTGGTCAGAGAGGTGGACGTCCGGACGTCTACATGGCACAATTTGGCCCATAAAATTCGGGTGTATCTAACCGTAAATGGAGATAACTATAGTTGTTTTTTTCAGATATAAAATCAAGAATCTTGAAAACTTGAAACCACTGGTTTTTGGCCAATCGCAACGGTCAAGCTGAAAAAACTCCAGACACAGAACGATGTCGCATGTTTCTGCGTCTGGCCGGATCCTGCTGGTCTGAGCTGCAACAGTCGACCAGAAGCGTCCCCAAGGGGTTGTGGTAAAGTTTTTGAAAATCATCCAGGTTGACTTTGGGATGCTTCTTCAAGTACATTATGATATATTTGTGAATTCCTATGATCGTCGAAAGTTTGATTATATATATATATGTATATATTATGGCAATATACACATATATATATATACACAGAATTATACAAATTATTGATAAAATTTACCTTATGTTCTCTGAGATAGTATTAATATAGGGATAATGGGGATTACCTCCCACGAAAAAATGACGAGGCACTCATCGGGACTCTGGAAGACATTCACTGATCGAAAGGAGTCCAAGAGGACCTGCTCCTGTCTAGCAACGGCTGAGGACATGGTCAATATAGAAAGTGTACAGCTTTGTCAAGCACTCAAATCACATGTTTAGTATATATGTGGATGTGGATATTAAGATTGGACCAAATACTAAATATGATATACACTAAATGATATGTTGTGAACAGCCCGGGGCTCCTGTGCCACCAAACTGGCACGGATCTTGTGGCAACTTTCGAAGTCCTGGCTCAGAAAAGGGAATTGAAGTCAAACATAAATGAGGTGTTGTCTGAAAATATGGTAACCCATGGTAACCCCAATTTCAGTGGATTATCATGGATTATCACCATTTTTTCCGCAAACAAGATATATAAATATATAACCGTTTTGGGATATGTTGGGCCTAAAAAGGCAAATGACCATTGCGACTGAATACTGATGTGAATGGACCCACAATGGGCCATGTGTCGCTTTGTAGCATCCTGTTTTTGGGAGCAAACAATTTTCAGCGCCACACTGTTGGTGGTTTAAACATGAACTTAGAGTAGGGATGCGGAGAGAGCAGAGATCAAATGCACCATAGGAAGATCGCCCACAACCATACTTGGTAGACACAAGGATCAATTCAGTAGACACATCTACAGCTATAAGGGAGCATAGAGAAATATACAAAATATATGACTCAAAACATGTAAATTTAAGCTTGTTATATATTAGAGGGTCGGTATACAACAGCAGCTTTCTTGTTAAATTGGTTTAGCCGCTAAGTCTGAGTACTACTCAGGCTTTGTACTTCTCAGTGAGTGGAGTCTTACCATCACATTACCCATCATTACCCACATTCAAAACCAACAGCCGAATCCTTCCGCAAGCCCCATCAGTTTACCTATGTATATATATAATATATATATATGTTATACATATGTTGGTGTGTATATGTTTTATATATATATATTACACTATATATACACATAATATCTTCCCGGCCCCGGCTCCCCGGCTCCGAGTAGCTCCGCGCCTGCTTCTTCTGGGGCAAGGTCTCTCGACAACTCAGATGATCCTCGCGCAGTGGAGTGAAGTTGCCGTCAAAACCTGGCGAATCGCCAAAGGCCGATGGCCATAGGGGGGAGATGGCCTGGAGATGATATAAGACGCCACTATTCATGGTGTTTGTGTTTGTTTGTTTCTTTTTTACATCATAGTTGTATGTTGTAAATAACGTGTATATATATATATATCATATATCATATAAAATTGTTAGTTTATAATATGTCATATTATATTATCTTGAATTATGTTATTAAAATTAAATAGAATCTATGATAATATATATTATATTATATGTATATGTATATATATATGATATTATGTGTATATATCGTGTATATATATATACACATCATATTGTGAAGTATATAGTGTATTCAATGATGTTATATTATATTGAAGTATACATATATATAACAATATTATTTTCTATAATATATATTCTATGATGCTATACTGAAACATATTATATTATACAATAAATACAATGGTGCATTATATTATATTACATTAACATATATTATATTATTTTGTATTTGTATTGTATTACGTTATATTACATTAAATCAAATCATAACATATATCATTTAATGTAAAATCATATTATATTAAATGATATTGTATAATATGAAATGATATTGTATTAAATCATATCATATCTTATTATATTATAATATATCGTATTATATTACATTATATTACATGATATCAAATCATATCATATCATATCATATTATACTATATCTATATATAAATAGCATATGTGTTATTGTATAATATTAGATTAAACTAGATTATATTATAGCATACTATACAACGTTATATTGTATTTATATTATTATATTATATCACATGATATAATTATATTATATTATATAAACTTATATTATATTATATTATGGTACATTAAATTATATTATATTATATTAAATTATATTAAATTATATTATATTAAATTATATTATATTATATTAAATATTGTATTATGTTATATTACATTACATTATATCATATTACATTAAATCATATCATATTATACTATGTATAAATAAATATATATATATATATGTTCTATTGAGTACATCGTGTTCTATATATGTATATATATATATGTATACTACTATTGTTATCTATTGAGTTCCGCAAGACCAACAACTACGCTGGGCTGGTTGGCTTTCAACAAATCGCATAAACAATGTGGGCAACCCAGCTGGGAGAAATTGCAACGATCAGCCGTAAACCAGCAACCAGTTCTATATACTCTGTACCAGTTATTTTTTTAATAATCTAATTATTATTCCAAATAATATCAAATAATTCTCTATATATATATATGTATTATATAAACACCTGCTAACCCTCGATTTGGATCTACTGATCTACTTGGGAAGGTTCTTATGGTCAAGTGGCTCACCTTGGGCGTTGCATGGGCAAGTTGTTGCAAATCCAGTGGCCAGACTCCTTTTTCCCATCAAATGCGCCTAAATGTCGTCAAGCTGATGTTGGACTCTGGAGCTGTCACCACCATAGTCTGGACAGCCCCATGTCACCACGCTTCCATCTGCCAAAATCGCAGCAAAAGCATGTCCTGCGCCAGAAATCTGCTGGACATTCCTGAGCTGATGTTGTACTCTGGAGCTGTCACCACCGCAGTCTGGATTGCCCCAAGTGACCACATTTCCATCTGCCAAAATCGCAGCAAAAGCTTGGTATGTGCCAGAAATTTTCTGGACATTTCTGAGCTGATGTTGAACTCTGGAGCTGTCACCACCATAGTCTGGACTGCCCCATGTCACTACATTTCCATCTGCCAAAATTGCGGCAAAAGCACCGTATGTTCCACAAATCTGCTGGACGTTCCTGAGCTGCTGTTGAACTCTGGAGCTGTCACCACCGAAGTCTGGATAGCCCCACGTCACCACGCTTCCATTTGCCAAAATTGCAGCAAAAGCCCGGGACGTGCCACAAATCTGCTGGACATTGTTAAGCTGCTGTTGAACTCTGGAGCTGTCACCTCCATAGGGTGGATAGCCCCACGTCACTACGCTTCCATCTGCCAAAATTGCAGAAAAAACACGCAACGTGCCACAAATCTGCAGGACATTGTTAAGCTGCTGTTGAACTCTGGAGCTGTCACCACCGCAGTCTGGATTGCCCCAAGTGACCACGCTTCCATCTGCCAAAATCGCAGCAAAAGCTTGGTATGTGCCAGAAATTTTCTGGACATTTCTGAGCTGATGTTGAACTCTGGAGCTGTCACCACCATAGTCTGGACTGCCCCATGTCACTACATTTCCATCTGCCAAAATTGCGGCAAAAGCACCGTATGTTCCACAAATCTGCTGGACATTCCTGAGCTGCTGTTGGACTGTGGGGCTGTAACTGCCTGCAGCTTCATTGCCCCAGGTGACAACCGTGTGAGCTCCAATATACCACAAAGCAAAGGCAAACCTTGTCGCAGCTAGCTTTGGCTGCTGGGCGACAGCTGTAAGGCTGTCTCCATCTTGAAGCCCAGAAAGTCGAAGAGAGTCTGCTGGGTCGAAAATGTGCCCGTCAGGCGCAGCAAGCCTCAAGAAACGTTGCCCCAGAGACTCTTGCGCTGCTGTTTTCAAGTCGGCGACGGTACCACACTGCGAGACCGCAACGGTTTCGCGCCGTCCACTTGGCAAGGACACGTCAAATTTGATGAAATTCTCAGACACCTGGGTCACCTGACCGTCCGCAGCTTTGTGCTTCATGGCACAAAAGCACGTTGCGTATCGTATCTTAAGAGATTCTATTCTCCCAGAAGTGGATGATGGGAAAGGAAACCTCAGCCAAGTTGAGGTAAAGTGACCATGGTTTCAACCCAGATTTTCCAAACAAGAAAACATCATCCATTGTTTTTTTTGTTGGACAGCTTTGTATTTCATGACAAGGTGTGGCTGAACAGTTAGAATTCTCCAAGCATCAGTGCGGAAATCTCTTCCTCTGCTGACTAAAAACGGTGAATGTTTGATTGAATTTTCCTTGATGTTCCTATTATTTGAGTTGGGCCAAAACAATCAACATGGTTGCATCACCGGCAACGATGAACAGTTCAGGGTGGTTCTAATGCACTCAATGACGATAGAGGGATATAGCGGGTATTTCAAGAATGTTTGTGCCCACCTCTGCGAAATATATCATGTATATATATATATATGATATGATATGATATGGTATGGTATGGTATGGTATGATATGACATGACATGACATGACATGATATATGAACTGTATATTATACAACACCAGAATTTCTAGATTTTAAAGGTGGTTCAGCAGGCAGTTGTTGAGCAAATGAGCACCAGAGAAGCAACATCAGTTGTCACTTGTGACTCTGTTCAATGGCAAATCTTCGATACAAACAAGACGTCAAACGGTAGGTAATATGTTCAATTCCTCCGCTTTTACGGCTAAAACAATGCTAGTTAACGCTCAGCATTACATGATTATATCTATATATATATATATACATGTAATAATTTATACATATATATATATAGGAGAGACAGATTGAAGAATTAACATCCATTGACCAACCAGTCACAAGCCATGTAAACTTTCCACGTCTTGTCCAGTCCGCCCCTTTGACAAACACCCGGTCATCGCACCATACGCAGCTCGCGCAGCTCGTGTCTTTTTCACTGCATGTGCAAGCTCATGATGGGAGCCTCTGCTGAGGGGCGCACGTACTCCTGACTTCCTGAGCGCTGGACATCCAAAAAGGCATCCAAAAATAGGAAGTTTGGGGGCCGCCAATTGTAGGGGAGGATTCCGCCGTTTTTCAACATCATCAACGGTATGAAAAACCATATTTAACATGTATTTCAATGCAATTTTGCAGGTTTATCTACATTCTTTTAAATATATTTTGAATCCTTTTCATCATATTCCGGAGAGTTCAGAAACATCCCTTCCCCCATCATATTGCATCCTTTCTTTTGGCCGGTCAGATCCATCGGGATCCATGATGGGGCCCCCAGTCGAGCGTGGCAGCGTGGCTAAGTTGCCGAACAGAAAAGTTGCTGAATTCTATGGTTTATGGTAGTATGGGTTATAACTGGCTTAACTATATAAGATATAAGTGGTAGAGATATAAGTGACTTAACTATGGTTCATGGTAGATATAACTATAGTTCATGGGGCTTATAAAACAACTTGTAACTGGTGGGAACCATCCTGTAGCTTCTTCCAGCCCTAAATATCCGAAGCACTGAGAGACTGCAATCACCAATGACCAGGGCCTTTTTGACAACTTAGCGGACTTAGCGACCATCTATACCTAGTTGGTGGTATACCTATCCCTCTGAAAAATATGAAAGTCAGATTGGATAATCATCCCAGCTATTGGGGAAAATAAAATTCATGTTCCAAACCACCAACCAGATACCCATAGGATCCATGGTGCTGGTATATATGCTATCATGACTGGGGTATAGTGATGGTAACTGTTACCATACATAGCAGCACCATGGATCCTATGGGATATGGAATTTATAAGTACCAAGGAACCGGCAATATTGGAGACATAAAACCTGAGGAATTTCCCATCAAACCTGAGGATCAAACTACCCGCCTGTAAACTTACATAGATGTGCCACTTGATACCATTATGATACCATGTTCATGTGGATTATTTTCCATGGCTTTCATCATGGATTTTCGCTTTCCACATCTTGAAGTTTGCAGCTTGTTAGCGTTGAACGAAGCAGCTTTGAACCACAGCCCATTGAGATATGTTTGCAGAATATGTATTGCATATATACAATTTTGAAGAACATATTACTGCACAATTGTATATGTAGGGGTTTCCTAAAATGGGTACCCCTAAATCATCAATTTTAATAGGAATTTCCTTTATAAACCAACAATTTTGGGGTACCACCATTTATGAAAATCCCTTTAGTAACACAGTTTTATAAAACCGTTGATATTGACAACATTGGGGTCCTTCCTTCACCGGATACCGGTCCAAGTTGCTGTACCAGAGACTGCGTTCGGTACTGTGTTGTGCCACCCACATGGACCAAGCAGGATTGCAAAGGTCCAACTTGCTGCGATAGCAATCGTAGAGAACTCGCATGTACCTGAACATAAATCACCAGAGTGCGACCCATATGACAATAAGTCTACAGAAATGGATATGTGGTGCCCCCAGACTCAGCATGTACCCGCGATAAACCAGAAAAAAAAGTTTAACCCGTTTTTTTTTCTCCAAGCAACCACTACTCTACCATGTTGGTTGTGTTGCCACTCTTGGTTTCACCCAATTTCGCTGGTCACTCTGAGGCTCCAGTATTCCCAGCATTTTTTCTCCTCTCCAAATGAACTCGTGCGAACATTGTCATGGTTAAGAGGTACCAGTACAACGGTATAACCCTATAATCGTTGTTGATGCAGCAATGTTTGTTGATACAGATTTACACGTTTGTTGCATAACTGGTGCCTCTTCTACCATGGTTTTAGCTTCTTTTTCGTCACTGTAAGGTGGTGTTTCCCAGTGTTTTTTTTGTTGGTTTATAGCAAATCCCAATTCACCTTCAGTTCGTTCTATACCGACTTACCAACCCAAATTACAATAGCCAACTAAGCTGGTTTATCATTTATGAGCCATAAGTATGCTATGTGCTATGTGCCCCCAGTTCTAAGTTGGTTCAAACAACTCCCATGAACTAGTTCGATATCTACCATAAACATCCATAAACAAGCAACGTTATTGGAGTTATCGGAACCCACACTAACCTTCACAACGGGGCACCTCCCAGGACCCATCTCCGGCCGGCATCCTGCCTGGAGTCATGAGCTGCGTAGATGAGGATCTCATCTCGAAGAGGACCTGGAGAACTTGATGTTTTCAGGCTTTTCGTCATTTCAGATGAATCAAAGGGTCGACCTAACATTTTATAGGCGAACTGTTGGGTTAAAGGTGAAGATTTCAAAGTGGTTGAGGGTGGAACTTGAAAATTGGGGAACTATAAACCGTTTGAATTTCACCAGTGTTTATGCATTTAATAGTTTCTATACTTCGGAATATAACTAGGTAAACTGTTGGTTCTAAGGCAGTGCCCCAGTTCGGAATCATTGAGATGGTGAACGCCTTCAAAAGTTGGCAAAAAACATATGTATGCAGATACTTATAACATATGATATTTACGTGTATATATTTATATGTATATGTATATATGTATGTATATCTTATGCATACGTATAGATAGATATTGGTAACTTTACAGTATACAGTATACATATATATATATGTATATATAACAACTGTATATACATATTTATAGATACGATCAGCGCACAAACGGCCATACCTTAGATTTCGAGCAACGCACTTTTTTCGATCAGCCCCTCTAGGGTCAAGCAAGTTTTCTCCAAAAAATACCTGGTTAGTGGTTGACCTACCCCTCTGAAAAATGATGGAGTTCGTCAGTTGGGATGATGACATTCCCAAATATTCCCAACTGAATGGAAAGTCATAAAATTCCATGGTTCAAAAGCACCAACCAGATACTGCCATGATGATGCCTCATTCCGATCATTCCAAAATATGCTTAGTGCCCTCATCCCAGATACATCGCCGAGCGACGATCTTGGAAGACCTTGTACGACCCACCTGGCAGAATGTTTCCGGGAAATGGTTCTGATCTTTTTCAGAGTTACTGTAGGCTCATTGGAATATGGAACCATGCAACAACTCAGAAAGAAATCCATAGTTTTGTTCTCATCAAATGTGTTAATTCTGTATGTCTTAGAAAAAGGTCCAATGATCGACCCACCAAATTCAGGGCTGTAGCAGCGTAGCAACCCACAGATGTATCTCCAGGGGGGACCCCCACATGTTCATCCAAGTTTGACATCTTTCAGACATGATCTTCTTTTCTTCTCTGTGTTCCATGTATAATATATATATATATATTATATATATATATTATATTATATATATACTTATACATATGTATTTCATCATTTTGAAATTGGATCTTCAATTGCAATGAATTGTGGCTGCAATTCGCACATCTGTTGCTGCTAGTTTGCAGTACAAACCCCTCATATCCGCGCATCCACTCTGGAAATACAGAGCAAACGATGATTCCTCCATCCACACACCATAGGATCCATGGTGCTGGTATATATGCTAGCATTTGGGGTATATTGATGGGATCCATGTTACCATATATATAGCATACACGGATCCTATGGACACTGGTTGATGTAAATAGTAGATGTTTGTTGCATGTCAACCCAGTTTTCCTACCGATTCCAAGAGTCAAACCCCATGTCCCTGGCGCCATTGTTGTGATGACATGAACATAGGATGTGATTTACTTGTAGTCATACCAAAGATGTACAAACGTTGGATACCCTCCGGACATTTAACATCGCCATGGAAAACGGCTCATTTATGGTTGATTGACCTCTTAAAGTGGTGATTTGCCATAGCTGTTTCTATGTTTACCAGAGGCTAACTCTGGATTTCTTCGCGGAAACCCACCTTCTTTGGGCTCAAAAAGCCGCTTGCCCCACTGCTTGATGGTCTCGGCAAAGCCTTTCCTGAAGTGCTGGATTGGTTGGTAGGACGATCACTTCGCAGGAACTCAGCCAGTAATCAGCTGCATTTTTTATGGGTTGTACATAGGATATCTACATATATATATATATATATTTGTTTTTCTTATAAATGGGTTGTATATTATATCAGTATATATTAAAAGTATACTTACAGATGGTTATAATGTATATAATTTGAATTCCATTTACTATATAATCATCAATGCTTGCTGGTTCATGGGTTTCTGTTGGGCTTGCAGCGCCATTCCAACGAAAATATACCAGGAGAACTCCCCCATCGGAAAAAAACATCGGCTGTCATTGGGTGTTTCCAAATTCTTACCCTCTGGTAATGACTAACATAACTATTAAAGATCACCATTTTCAATGGGTAAATCAACTATTTCGACTGGGCCATTTTCAATAGTTTTTTGTATGTTTACCAGAGGGTAGATCAATGAAACCATGCACGTACTTACAGATTCAACATCACTAGCCATAGGAGAAAACGCTGGCGCATGCCATTTATGCCATTTCTAAGGCGGCATAGCTCTCAAAGAACCCCAAAGCTGGGAGGTTTTAACACATGAGCAAACAAGGATACACGGCCAGCCTCGCTTAGATTCATTTCACATGGCAGCATTTTACCACTTCCAAATC